GCAGTAACTCAAGTATCTGAAATTCGGCTACAAGTAGACTCATTTTCTCATAATCTAGTTGAGAATCCAAATGAAAGTGTGAAGGTTTCCGAGCTGCCAAAGGTGATGTCAAATAAAAAACTCATTGTATTAAGCCTGAAGCACTTTATACCATGAAAATTACTATTTGTTACTTTCTTTGCCAAATAACTTTTACTTTACACAAAATTCCAACAAAATAATATCTGACTTCCTGGCTGGCAAAGATTAGAAGCATAAAATAGGAAAGAGCAGAGGCAGTGAAGTGGAAGTGCGTGGACCTGTCATATGGGGTCCCCGCAGCCATGACCCTGAACATCAGGGAAAGACCTTGGAAAACGAGAAAATGCACCCACCCTAGAGAGTCAAAGTGATTCTCAGCGTTGGGTGTAAGGAAAATTAGCTGGAATCATCCCAAAAGACCTTGAAGGTAAGCGTGATGGACTAACACATGAACAAAACAAATAAAGCGAGCCATGACGAAACTGCTGGTGTCTTTCAGTCCAAATTTTCATTCAAAATTGTTAAAATAAATTTAATGAAATGAAAATTCACAAGACCAGAGTTTTTACATTGGGGGGTTCTGACCTTCCAGTCTGATGGGAACAGGGTCCTCCTTACAGAGCAGAAGAGGCAGCTGAGGCTGCTGGGTGGTCTCTGTGCTACTCCTTCACCCTCCCTGTCAGTCAAAAACTTCTGCAATCACTTTCCTCAAAAAAAAAAAAAAATCTCTTTCAGACTTTTTTCAGCTGTTTTTTAGGGAAAATCATTTATTTTAAAAAGATAACAAGGCTACTGATTTTCATCCCTGGGGGGCTTGAAATAGCATTTAATTTAAATGTCACAGTCATATGAGATGTCAGAAACCTGAATTCAGTAACCTGCAATTCAAATGCATTGAATTTTGCTTGGGAAACTCTGATTATCATGTTTCCTGACCTGAGTCGGGAGGGAGTTTTGCCTCTCGATAATGCATTGCTTCAGTTGAAGAATAATAGCTCTCAAGCAGACCTGCATTCAGAGTCCCACTGCTGTCCTGAAAGCAGGCTGGCCAGCTCTTGCCCTCCACTCTCAAGAGCCTTTGCCTCAACATGTAAGAGCAGGAGATGCATGAGGCTATTTAGATGACAGTGGCTCCCTGTCCTTTTCTCAGCAGCTTCGCCTTCCCAATTTCAAGTACTTCCCAAAGACACTCTAGTGCAATTCACCATCTCACTATGACGTGAAGGGATGACGGAATGTGATTTGGCTGTCCCCCTCCGGACCAGAGTGTTAGAGAAGAACAGAAGTTACTCAGCTACATACTTGCTCATCACAAGACAGCACCAGCACTAACACCCTGCCCTGCTGTCATCAGGGCAGGGGACAATGGTATATATAGCTCAGCCATAATCTTGATCTAGGATCCTGCTCTTTCCCTTCAGGGGTGTTAGCTCCTAACCCTACAGTTACCATGAGAATAAGCTAATGAAAGCTGAACTGCCTCTGACTCAAGATGTCTCCATTGATGAGAAAAGGACTGCTGGGAAGAGACTAATATTTGGGAACTCCTCATGACAGAGGTACAGAGAAGAGAGGGATTCTTTAAGGAGCCCTCAGTAGCCATTTGTAAGGAGTTGGTGCCAGGTGGAAGATAAAAGCATGGAATACAGAGTTTAGAAGCAATAGCCCTGGCTTTGAACTGAGTGAGTTCAAACCTAGCCACAAACATTCATTAGCTCTGTGAGCTTGAGTAGATTACAGGTCTATTTCATATTTCAGAAGTCCCCCTGATAAGATGAGATCATAGTTTCCTACTCATGTTTGTTGTGAGGATTAATTGAGATAATACACCCATGACTGATTTACTAGTGAGCTGGGCTGGGCTGATGCTAGCAAAATGCAACCAGATTCTTTCTTTCCAATGCATTTCAACCCTGCTCTGTCCCATCCTCTTCTTCATCCCATAAGCAAAATCCCCCAGGCTAAAGCGTCTGCAGCTACTTTCATATATCAATGGACCTTTTCAGAAATAAACAAGTTCAGAAATCTAAATCAGAGTTCAGTCTCCTCTAATTTAAAGCTTCTCTGTTCATCACAGTTGGTGTGACTCAGACTGTCTAACCCGCAGGGATGTCAGGGGAGGTGTGGGCTCCCTCACCATCCTACACACACCCTCTGCTCACCTTCCACATACCGTGGGGTAAGGGCAGCAAAGGAAGGAAGGAGTAGAGAGAGCTTGCTTGACTGGTGCCACCCACATAACCTGCTATTGGGCATGAGAGGCTAGCTATTGGGCTAACTCTTCCTGCTGGTGTTCTCCTGGGTTCTCTAGAGACCCCACAGCAAGCAGATGTCCAGCCTCCTCCACTCCACCTCCAGCCTTCTCTCCTTGCTGTACCTCAGGGACCCTCCTGACTGCATCTGTTTCGGCCAGAGCGCCAGCTCTTTCCCTTTCAGCACTGTTGACGTTGTCAGCTGGCTAACAGGGCTGAGGGGACTAGTTCCAGCATTGGAGCTGTTTAGCAGTATCCCTGATCTCTACCCATGAGAGTCTCAGCAGTGACAACAAAAATGTCCCTTAGAGGGCAGAATTTCTCCCTGACTGGAAACCACCAGAGTAGACAATCCCAGGCAAGAGTTGATCAAAAATGTCTGCGTTTTCCAAATTCCAGGAGACACTTGAAATATCCTGAGCACTTGACTTATGACTTCTCTCTCCCTTCTGCTAAATAATCAGTAAGTTTTTCACAATGATTCTGTATTTTTATGTTATATCCTGGAAAGGGAGATAATGATCCAAGAATGGCAAAAACTGGTTTGGGCCATTCCCAGCAATCCTAGAGAAATGCTCTTTTCTTTTTGAATGGGGGAGTGTCTCTCAGCTTTTAACTCAACATTTATTGCAAAAAGAGACACCTTCATTTCAAGCATACGGCAAGGACAGAACAGGGCTGTTGACACCCACACACAGGAAATCAATGTGAGTCAATGCCCTGTATAGCTATCCTTATCTCAACCAGCAAAAACCCTTGTTCCTTCCTATTATTGCTTATACTCTCTCTACAACAAAATTAGAGATAAGGGCAAAATAGTTTCTGCTGGGTATTGAGGGGGGGAGCGGGAGGGGGCGGAGTGGGTGGTAAGGGAGGGGGTGGGGGCAGGGGGGAGAAATGAACCAAGCCTTGTATGCACATATGAATAATAAAAGAAAAATGAAAAAAAAAATAAAATAAATTTTATGGAGCTGAAAAAAAAAAAAAAAAAAAAAAGGGGCATCATATATAATTTAAAGCAAATGAACATGTATTGAGATAAATGCCCTTCATAAGAAAAGAAAATATCATGAGCTTATACAATTTAATAAAATTTCATTTTGAGGACAGGCCCAATGGGAAAAGGGATGGGGAAGAGCTACATGTCCTCCTGCAGCTCTGATTTCATGTGACTTCTAAATGAGGAATCTTCTGGCACTGCCTTGGCTCTTTCTTCCCCAGGATGAATGGAGTGCAAAAACCCAACATTCAGGAAGGAAGAGGACACAGGGAAAAGACCAGGAATTCTTCTCATTCCTTTTTAGTCCACATCAATCCATAAAATGCATGTACATGTAAGGATGCTTTTGGTAAATGAATAACTTGGTTATATTTCAAAATAGCAACTCTAACTTAAATTTTAAAAGAACACAACATGTACTTCAATAATATTTTATTATCATTAGTATAGAAGAAATTCAACACTGAACCTTCAGACCAAGAAGAACCTATTTACAATGAACAGCAAGGAAGGGATGTGGGGAGGAATGTCACAAAACCTGCAGTGAATCAATACATGAGCCTGCCACATAGATAGCTTATCAGAACCACTTTACCACTTACTACTAAGTTACACACTCACTGTCTAAAATAATGATACCCATAGACTGTAAAATATATGTGTTGAGGCACCATAAGCACTTTATAGCTTTACTTATATTTTTTAAGGGTTTTAGGTTCATTTCCTTTTCCAACTGTCACATTAGACAGACACAAGTTCCTTCAACACTCATAAAATTCTCTTATTGGCTACCGTGAGAGTCCCTGATATCAGACATTCAAAACCTTGTGAGTCAGCTAGAAGTCCCTGCCACCAGTCCAACACCCACCAAATTACCAGGAGGGATGTCTATCAAAAATGAAAGTCAATTATTACCAAGCCAAGCTTCCCTGCCATCTTACACTGCAGCTAGTAGAGGTCTATAATTCCTTATCTAACATCCCTCAATCTAAAAAGTTCTGCAAAGTGTTTTCATAATGGCACACTCATTTGTTAGCAAAATGTGACTACTTATAGGCTATAGTCTTTATTTATCCATTTTATAGGAATAAATCATAATTTGTTGCAGAAATATTAAGTTGTTGACTTATAGGTGCCAATCAGTGGAGCTCCATACTGTATGCAAAATATTATCTTTCTAAAATCCCCAAAATTAAGAGTTTAAAAAAAAATGTCTCACAGGTTTTAGCACAAGGACTTTTGGACCTACAGAAAAGTCAGTAAATACCCAGGTTGCATCAGACAAGAGTAGCTTTGTGGGTCCCATGTTCCACGGTTTCATTAGACTTTCAGGAAGTGAGAATGTCTAGAACATTCTATATCCCAGTGAAGAACAGCAAAGTTCTGGAAATAAGATCCTCTAAATTTTCCTTAAAAGAATTTTTGGTGTGGAAGACTATACTTGTGGTAATAACCACAGAGAGTTTGACAAGTAAGGAAGAATTATTTTTCCATTAAGATGATTCTTTGAATAAAAGCATGCCATTTTCTTTTACAATGAAAAAAAAGGAAATGAAAGAAAGACTAGGAAAAGAAAGTCCATTAATATAAAGGCTACATATGACAAATACTGGCCACTTCTGGATCCAGCAACATTAACAATTTATTATATTTAGAAAGTGATTCTCTGGATGCAGGATGTATAGAAATCTGCCTCCACAGATAAGTCAGATGGGCTTATCTGGCACTTAAGGAGAACAGAATTTGCCAAAGAAGATGATGTTCCGAGTTTTGTTGTGCCTGATGATATAAATAAAAGGGTGGTCAGCATTGAACTCATCCTTGTGTTGCAGGATCCGAGATCCTGGTACCTCTATGGACTCCCCACCATCCTCAGTTATTTCTAGGCACACTCTGTGAATTACATTTGATAGAGCCACTCCCTTGGTCTCTGACATTCCAGAGAAATCAGATGTATTTTCATTAAAAGTATTTTTCAGCCCTAGGTTTTCCAAACTAGCCTTGGGATCAATCAACTTTTCCACCTTAAACTTTGGAAGAGAAAGTTTGACTTTGGCATTGGCCATGGTGCTGGGATTGGTCCACTGCAATAGCGTCTCTGAGTTGAGTTGCTTTTCAATCTGAAGGACAAAAAGAAAAGGGAAATAGTTTTATTTACTTTAAACTGTTAAAGATCTTGCTTGATTAAAAGCATAAAGTGTTACTGTGAGTTCTGAAGTAGTCCAAATGAACCCTTGAGATGGTACATGACTACTTTGTCTTACAGGATGTACCAGCCACCCAGCAGTATTCTCCATCTTCCAGCCCTACAAGAGAAATTTGTTGTAGAATTTCCTGCCTTTTATACTGAAATTTGAGGACATGTTTTTTACTTCCTTAAGTATAGAGCAGCTTTACAGAAACAGATGCATGGATTATAAGGTTACCTATACAATAGTGAAACAAATATAAAATTAGAAAGGTGTTTATACGTATTTCCTGAATGCTAATTTAATTTGTCTACAAGGAAATCCAGAACATTCAAATATTTGGCATGGCATCAATTTTAATCATTCAAATTAAAGGTAAAGTTATTCCTCTTCTTAAAAAATAGGAACTTGCACTGTCTCTGAGTCGTTCTTTAAGATCATAGGTGGCGAACACAACCATTTCAGCTGGTTTAAAAATGAGAGATACACAGTGAAGTACAAAATGCTTGGTCAAAAATTCTTCATGGAGCAAATCTTAAGTTGCTCCTCACGGATTGAAAGAGAAACACAAGTGCCACTGAGAATAATACCCTGACTGCCACTATCATGGAGCAATATCACGCTAAGATCACTCAGTGACAACTGTAAAAATCAGGGATACAGCAAGACAACAAGGTCACATGCTGTTGTGTGTGTGTGTGTGTATGTGTGTTTATATCTTTTATTCATATGTGCATACAGTGTTTGGGTCATTTCTCCCCCCCTTCTCCCTGTGTGTTTAAAAATGGGGTAAATGAGCTATATATATATTCTCTTACTAATCTATTATAATTACTTTTCTGTTTTAATAAATTTTTATTAGGATATATTCATTATACAGGGGGGATTCATAGTGACAATTCCAGTTAAACTTATAAGTTTACATCGCCCCACCATCTCTCCCCCTCAACCCCCTTCACCCCTCAAAGCAATTGCAAGAGGTTTCTTCGTTCTGTTTCATACAGATATATGAAGTCCATCTACCATATACCATCACCTTAATCTCCTTTCACCCTCCCCCCTCCCATCAGTACCCCCCCCACACACACACACACTGTACCTATTTTACAATCCTGGTTTTCGTTATTAATAATTAAGTTGATGTTCAAGGGGCATCTCAATGGACGCCCACTGTGGTTACACTTTACTTTGGTCCATCCAACCCCTTCCATTACTCTCCCTTGCCCCTTTACCGCCCACTATAATTACTTTTCAGTGAATATTTTCTAACTTAGAACAAATTACTAGAACCAAAGATTGTCATCAGTAATTAGAATTTGGGGACCACCAGGTATATTCTCTTGCCCATTTACCACCTAAGAGTGAAGCAAGAGGAGACAATCCACCTAAAACTCAAAGAAATCACAGGACGTGGTAAGGACTGAACCATGTCACCCAGTTCACATGTTGAAATACGACATTATTTGGACAAAGAGTAAATTGCAGGTGTAATTAGTTAAGATGAGGGCATTAGGGTGGTCCCTAATCCAACACAACTGGTATTCTCATAAAAAGAGGGAATTTGGACAGAGAGACAGACACACAAATGGAAAAGGCCATGTGAAGATGAAGACAGAAATCAAGCAGGAAGGGTATAAGGCAAGGAATGCCAAGACTGACGGCAAACCAAGAGCAAGGAGGCAGACTCTCCCTCACACTTCCCAGAAACAACCAAGCCTGCTGACACTTTAAGCTTGGATGTGTAGCCTCTGGAACCATGAGAAAACAAGTGTCTTTGTTTAAGTCACCCAGTTCATGGCACTCCCATAACATGCTGATAAAATATGTATTCTTAAATGTTCCTTTCTGAGACTCCAAAGATCATTTTCTTTAGGTCTATATTGAAGAAAAAACAATTGACACTTTTATGAAGGTAACTAAGGCAAAAATCCATGACAACTGAATAATAGCTGAAAGATTAACACAGGAAATACAATAAGAAAGAGTGCAGTAAATAAAAAAATAAATGAGGACAAGCATTATGTTGCAGTGGATACAACACAATGATAACTGAAGTAATGGATAAGACAGGGACTGAGTTAGACTTAAACTATCCACTGAAAAGCCAAGGAGCAATTAACACTTGACTGGAAATAAAGCACAGATCCTTGATCTTCAAAAGCCTCTTCTTTCCTGAGCAAGGGCTGAGGCCCAGGTGGAGCAGGGCTATGGGGAAGCCAGGGAGGGGAGCCCTGAGGGCAGAGACTGGTAGAGCAGAGGGGCAGCTAAAACTCAATCACAAACAGATAAAACTTGTACTTTTATTAAACCTTGCACCCATAATAACCTGTATAATTGAAAATATATGCTATATGTAACATTTAAATATACATTTCATGTTGTAAAATAATGACCTGTACAATAGAAAATTGTGATATAAAAAATCCCATGCATAATAAAATCACGTGTGTGTGTATGTATTAATCAAACTTTTCAAAACCCATACACAGAGTAAACCCTATGGTAAGCTGTGAACCTTAGTTAATAATTGTATCGATACTGGCCCATCAGTTATAACACATGAACCACACTAATGCAAGGCGCTACTGCAGGAGAAACTATAGAACTGGAAGGAGAAGGAGAGTACATGGGAACCCTCTGCATTTATTGCTCACTTCTCTGTCAATCTAAAACTGCTTTTAAAAACAGTTTATTAATTAACAAAATAAAGAGCTTTTATTTTCAAGATAGTGGCCCTCCTGCTGAGATGAGGGAAGACCCTAGCCTAGAAGTGAGAACATGGCTCCAACTTCCTTGGTTCAAATCCTGAGTCTATATGTCACTGATGGGTTATATTACCCACGGCTCTTTGCCTCGGTTCTCTCACTGATAAACAAGAGTATGGGGACAGTTTCTAAGTCATGAGACTGTGTGAGAATTAAATTAGATAATGGTATGGGGATTTAGTACCACACTAAATTTAAATTTAGTACCACACTCCTGGCACATTGTGAGTACCAAATAAATGTTGACAGTGTTTTATATTAAAGAGGAAAGGCCCCAGAGAGGTCCCTAAAACCCTTGGAAATGACTGAGCCTGGGTGTGTAAGGTAGGGCTGCCACCCACTTCTCACATCCCCGTAGTGCACACGCCTCTCTGCCATGGCTAGGGTTCCTCCATGTTGAGTGCCTGCCAGCCTCCTCACCTTCTCCAGGCCTGTGGACTCATCCTCCACGTCCTTGGGCAGCAGGATAAGCATGCTGAGATGCTTATTCTGGAAAGGAAGCTCGATGATCTTAGAGTTGATATCATCCATGTTGCCCGTACAGAACATGGCCTCCACATTCATCATTTGCACTGGTTTGGTGTCTGTCTGTCAAAGGAGAAAAATTTGGATGGCCTAATTTTCACAGTTTACACAGGAATAAATATATACACACACATATATACACACATACATCTGTGTATGTATAGATATACATTGTGTCTATACATACACAAATATAGAGATACGTATATACACAAATTTGCTCTTCTGGTTTTAGATCATTCATCATTTGGGACCAACACCATACTAAGCCCAAATCATCAGAGACTGTCTTGTGAAGAGTTTGACATCCTTTATAATTCCATGTATCATACATTATGGGAACTATATATATTGCTATACTTTCATATATGAATCATTAAGTCAGTATGACTATCTGTGAAACTTTACAACCGTAACTATAAGATCTTTATTCCTGGTGGAACTGATTTGAAGGTAAATCCTAGTGCAAACCCATATAGCTGTATAAATAATGCCCCTGGGAAAAGATACCTAATCAAAACATCTTAGCATAAAGCAGAAAAAAAACCATACTTGGTGTATCCTCTCTGTTTTCCTTTGGTTTGAATCCCCTCTTGCCTATATTGCCACGTGCTCTAATATGAGCAAAGACAGTTTGGATTGGAAAGAAGAACCTTGGGTTTTAGTTCAAACTGTAACACAAACAGACCTTGAGCAAGTCAGTTTACCTTTCCAAGTCTCGGTGTCCTTGTCAGCAAAATGAGGAAATTGGAAAACTCTGAATAGTAGTTACAGCTTGGAGGAAGAGCTAACAGCACAATGGGATAGGGAAGGAGGTTGATGGACATACATAGACAACACAGCTGTTGTTAAACTTTTTATTAAACTATCTAAAATGAGTAAGGCAGAAATATTAAGTTCACAAAACTGGTTGGCAGATATATTGTGTTTGTTTTATTATATCATTTTCTGATGCTTAAAATATTTCATGATTCCAAAAAATTAGAATTTGTTAAAATTTTTTTATCTCAAAGCCTCTTCTAACTCCCGTGCTCTCCATACATCTTGTCCAACAGGAACCATGAAAGGGTCTTAGCCCTCAGGCCCATGTTTCCAGGAACTAACCCAGGCCCTTCCCTTTCTCTACTCCTATTAACATCTCCTACCTCTGCTACAGAAGTGACAAGTTTCCTAAAGGAAAACTAATTCTTACTAAGAAGCAAAAGACTGATAATAATTTAGTGTATTGTACTGTCTTGAAATATATACACCTCCCTTGGGATATTCACCTAACTGAATTTCTTAAGGGGGAGACTTAAAGCTTGATGTAAGTCCTGAAGAGATAATATGATAGTAAAACCTTCATGTGGGATCTTCAAACACTAAGCTGAACCTTACCCTCTCTCAAGAAGACCTACATCTTATGTTACTTTTTGTACCTAACACTTTCACAGTGCTAGAAATATTTATTTACGTTAGTAACTCCACTCCCCGACTCAACTAGGATACAGTCAAGGCAGAAATCATGTCTTACCATCCTGGTACATCCTACCACATAGTAGTTGCTTACTGAGTACTTGGGTGATAGTAACAGACATAATAGAAAAGCATGCTGCTTTTTTAAAGTTACTGATAATTCTTTGACTTGTTTCTTCTAAAGAAGGTATAGGTTTGTCTAAAACTTTCCACCAGGTTAGACAGCTAGTAATTTATAAATATGCACCTTTGTGGCCCCCACAATTTGTCATCAGAGATGGGGTGTGACTCCGTGATAGAACACTTGTCTAGCACAAGTGCTAAATTCAATCTTCAGCATCACAAAAAATAAAAATAAAGGAACAAAAAAAGCTGCCATAAATTTCACTTATTAGCACTGAATATAAGCACAATAATCCCATTCTCTGAAACAGGGCATGACTTCTGAAAACAAGATTAAATAAAGACTATCCCAGAAAATATGGTATAATATATACTTGTTGAACAATATATATAGGTTGACTATTCCTAATCTGAATATCTGAAATCCAAAATGCTCTAAAATTTGAAAGTTTTTGAGCACCAACATGATGATACAATGGAAAATTCCACACCTGATTTCATATGATAGGTAGCAATCAAAATACAGTGTACTAAAAATATTGTACAAAATTAGCTTGAAACTATGTATGTGAAACATAAATTAATTTCATGTTCAGACTTGGGTCCCATCCCCTTATTATACATATGCAAATTTATTCTAAAATCTAAAAGCCATCAGAAATCCAGAAACATTTCTGGTCCTAAGTATAAGGGTAAATTCAACTGTTACATATTGTAAGAACTTTTATAAATGTTACAATGTATCCCCATTACAACAATAACAAGAAAAAGAATAAGGGATTTTCAACCTGTATGTATATATTTATTTATGTATTTATTTATTTACTTATTTATTTATATATACATTTTTTTCAGAATAGGCATTATACTTCCATTAGTCTAGCCCTTAAAGGAGATATAGACCAGGAAACAAGGGTTAGTAATACCACTCAAAAAATTCAGGGGTTGATAGAAGCAATTCAAAAAGTAATAGCATCTGCATTCAAGAGGAAGGTGTGCCCCAGGCATAACTGAAAAGAATTCTGCTGAAAGATCAGGGACATGTCAAACCCTTATTGATTCTGGTTAGTCTGAGTTTTCAGGATCTGATATTACCTAACTTTATGATTTAATAACAAGAATAAAGGAATAGCCCATATTCTTCCCCCCTTCCCAAAAGACATCACTTGGGATCAACATGCAAGTCCAAGTTTTACTCAGTAACTATATAACATTTTGTGATGTGGTACTGGGCTTTAATTTAGGGCAGCCTTAACAACGTGCTTGAGATTTCACTTAGACATAGTGAGGGACCCTTTGCCAGTCCTTCTCAGGTAGGAAAGCCAACCATCAATCAAATGAGCCACAGGGGGCCTCTATGGCAGGACAAGCAGCTTGGACCACACTCCTTCCTTCCTGCAAAACAGTAGAAGCTGAGAAAGTCACATTCTACTTCAGCTTCAAATGAAGGACAACATATAGGACAATGCTATGTGTGAATAATGCAGAATCTGAAGAGTCTAATGTGTGTCCCTACTGTCTCAGACATGACTCAGGTAATCAGAGTCATTCCTGTCCCAAGAGTCGGCTGTGAGAAGACCACTGCAGTCCCAAGCGAAGCTCAGGAAGAAGTGGAAAGAGGGCCTCCTGGCTCTCCTCTAGCCCCCTGGGATATTCTAAGTCAGTAAGGAACAATAACAGTGGTTCCTGTCCTCTCCCTGTGAAAATGCCCAATAAAGACAAATCAGATTTAATCTGACATTGACTGTTTAATCAAACTGACCTTTGAGGAGTGATGTAACAAATCTGCAGGGCACCTAGTGATGTGGCATGAACTGTAGCCACTGAGATGAAAAAGACATGGTCCCTGCCCTCGTAAAGTCCATCCCATGCACTAGTGGAGGATCTAGGTGAGCAAACAAACCTTACTAGGACAAATACACTTGGGGACAGGTAGTGGGGAGCATGAATAAAAACTCTAGGGAGTCATGGAAGCCAGTCCAGCTGACCCTGACCCAGGCATAGGTTGTATCTGGAAGGACTTTTCTCCTAGGTTCTAGTATAAAGAAATTGTTAATGCATTTGCAGAAAAAAAAAAAACATGTGATTGATGCAAGGTTCTGGGAAAAACTTGAAAACTAGAGTTGACACATAGGGGCTACAAGATAAATAAGCTACCTTCAAGTATTGGAACTGAGGTATTTACCTCTTTCGGTGCCAGTTAATAAAAGTTACATCACACCAAAGGAGTCCAAATCACACTCATGCAGATCCCTAAGTTTTCCTAGATTCTGTAAAGAAATGGATCAGTGTTACAGTCTCAGTTCTTTGGTTTCATTTATACAAGAGGCACTGGATCTATGTCCACTAGTTGGTTTTGACATATTAACCTCAACAATATCAGTAAGACTGCCAAAAATACGGGCTTCTAGTTCTTTCTATAATGACTCTCAATAATGCAGATACATAAGTGTATATATTTTTTTTTCTTCATCGCCAAAAGGTGCCTCAAAGTATCTCTTAAATTACTGATTAAACTACCCAAACCCAGCTGGTGAAATAGTTCAGCAGAAGAGCACTTGCCTAGTATGTGTGATGTCCTGGGTTCAACCCCCAACACCACAAAAATAAACAAATAAATAAGCAAACAAATAAATAAATAATAAACTTAAGCCATAAGTGTCCCTATCAACAGGTAAGAAAATGACATCATAGAGAAATTAATGAATCAGGAGCAAAGTTCCTAAATGGTCAAGGTTTCATAAAAATCCAAGGTCCTCTGAGAGCAGGGTTCAGTTGGCTGATTTTCTTCTCTTTTCCTATCTTGCTAGAGTCCCCTATGCCCTCATTTTCCTGAGTCCCCTCCCCCCATTGCTATAATTTTTAAGATCTGCTTACTTAAGACATGTTGCCACCTACCTTATTGACTCTGAAGGGGCATTCTTTTGTTTCTGATTCAGGGAATTTCTTCATCCACTTTCCAATAAAGTAGGCGGCATTGACCACAAGGATCTTAGTCTGGTCATTTACACTGTTGTCAGATAAAATGTTTTCAAACTGACCTGAAAATGATTTTAGAAAACCACAAATAGCAGAGTTCTTCTTCCAAATTACATCAGATACACATTTATCTATGTATGTTCATTCACTGGTATTTTTCACCTTATGCCAAGTAAGGCCTGGCAGCCCAGATAGCAATTTCAGAACTCCTCTCTGATTCTGCCTTACCACACTAGATTTTATCAAAGAGACCTAGGATTGGAAGTCAGCTCTTTTCAATTCAAAGCTGGTGCTGCACAGCAAAACTGCACAGCCCCTGGTTTTACATGGGGGACAGGGGAGGTCCTCTGCTCAGCATTTCACATGTATTATTTCTCTTCTTTAATGGTCCTCTAGGGCAAAGATCATTATCCCCACTTTACAGCTGAAGAAATGAGGCTGAGAGAGACCAAGGGGCAGTCTTCCTGACTCCAGATAAGAACTTCCCCTCACCTATCACTCTCCATTTCTTCCCTAATTGTACTCTTTGCAGGCAGGCTAATTGCCCAAGGTCAACTGTAATGGTCACAAGCTCAATCACAGCTGTAATTAGTTAGACCTTGAATCTTCAACAGATAAAACGCTCAATAGTAATAATCCTTTAATAAAAAGGACTCCTCGTATTTGAACAGCACCTGGCATTTTCACAGAGTTTTCACTTACCTCATCATGTTTGCATCATTACTCAGGACCCACTTCCTACCCTGAACCTGTGTGGAAATGGCCCTGTACTTGGCTCAATGTTCTGCTGTTTTGCCATAAAATTTTTAATAAAGGGCCCTGCATTTTCACTTTTTGCACTAGGGCCTGCAAATTCTGTTATCTTGTCTTCATAATGAGATATGTATATGTTGCATATATATAAAGGCATTATTTTTTAATTTTTTTATTATCATATTATTGTTGTACTGGGAGTACATTGTGACATTTACAAAGGTTCTTACAATATATCATAGCTAAATTCACCCCCTCCATCATTCTCCTTTATGCCTTCTCCCAACATTCTTGGAATAGTTTCAACAGGGCTCATTTTTCCATTTTCACACATGAGTACATGATATTTCTACCAAATCAACTATCCTTCACCCTTTCCTTATATCCTCCCTCCTCCCACTGGTACCAATCCCTAAACAGGACCTGATTTACATTCCTGTCCTCTGTTTTTGAGTAAAAAAAAGACAATTTAAGATAACTGACAGAGAGTTTCATTATGACATTTCATGTATATATGTATTGTATCCTGAATTATAAAGGCATTATTGAAGAAACTTGAACAACAAAGAAAAATGCACACCAGTAGGTGGCAGAGCTTCAATATAAATCCTGAGCTTCCATTTCCAAACTGAGAAGTATTTTCACTAACCTACCTTCTCTAGTCAAAAAAATTAAGTGAGCAGGATGTGGTGGCACATGCCTGTAATTTTAGCACTCAGGAAACTAAAGTAGGAGGGTTATGAGTTCAAGGTCAGTCTGATCTATGCAGTGAGACCCTGACTCAAAAAACAAAAACAAAGCAAACCCTTAAATATATGGAGATTTTAAAATGAAAGGTTTTTAAAGAGAAAATACAATGACTTAAAAATCCTAAAAGCAAAACCATAACTCATAAGCTGCTTTTGCTTGTAACTTTTTAAATTGTGCTCAACCTTGCGTTATTTACATCAGTTTTTCTTTCATGTGAAGCCAAAGAAACTTTATTTCAATAGCATAAGTGCAAGTTTGCATGCACGTATATACACATGTGTGCACATGCATATATATCTATGGCTACCATTTATTGTATATATTATCTAATTAGATCATCACAACAACCACATAAAATTAAATTAAGTAACATATGCCCCATTTGACAGTTCAGTACATTGAGGTTCCCTGTCCAAATATCAATACTGATAAGTAGCAGTACATGGGTTTGAACCTAATTTCTAAATGACACTAAAGTTCCTGTTTTTCCATGTCATTAGAAGTGAACCTTATCATTCATGAGTCAGAAAACAAGCAGAGAGCCACTCTGGGTACTGTTTATTCTCACAGGAATTATACCTCCCTGGAAGTAATTATCTGCTGTGTCCCAACAATTCTCTACCTGTACAAATACAATAAATACATCTCTGGGAAATGAGATGTAGTAGTCACTGATTTGCAATCCAAATAATATTAGCTACAATTCCTTTCTATCCAGGAAAACAACTCACTAGGAATTTTAGTTGGGGGAGGAAGGGGGTCACACAAAGAGAAGCCTAGGGAAGGACTGCCAGAGACAGGACTGGATAGGTTCTGCCAAAACACCCCAGGACTGTCTGAGAGCAGACCAGCTTTAGGAGTTGAAAGACTGAAGACAAACTTGCAGCACAGTTTGTTTTGTTTCATTTTGCTTTGTTTTCCACATTTGTATTTGCCTAAGACTTTTTCTTAGTAAATTTGTATCATTTTTGAGCCAGAAGCAGCTTCAAAGATTATCAAATTATACCAATCCTTCCATTTCCAAACTGAAAAACTGTCTCCATGATTTGTTCAGAGCCATACTTTGTAAAAGACACAGCTGGGCCTCCACCAGGGCATGTGGCAGCTTGTCAGAGAGCAAAGCACACTAATCTGAAGCACCAGAGAGTTCTGCCAAGTAATGAAATGATATAAAAAAGGCCCAGAAATTCAAGTTGTTGGCATGGCTTGATGGGCAAGAATTTAGCTTGACTACTAAAAATATCCAAGGCATTCTCTAGATGTTCATTTTTTTATGTTCAGAGGGAAGATTCATGAGAAGGGAGGAGTGTTTACTTAGCCATTTATAGCAGAACGAGTAAAGGACACTTGCCATCTGTGAGATCCTTAATGGAGTTGTTGATCTGACTCCTTGTTTCATCCAGTTTATCTTTGAAGTCAACAGTTTCCAATTCTTTTGCATATGGTCTTTTTGTAGAGCTAATAAACTCCTGAAAAACATCCAGTTCATAAAATCAGAAAGTACTTAAAATCTGTAATGAAGTTATTGCTTTGGTATACTGTTCTAACGAAAGGATTTCTTAAACATCAATTACCATGGGTACATTTTCAAAACTGGTTACATTATATGAACTAAAACCACATTTAGCAATCACTGAATTTTCCTTGTATTAGATGTTTCATTTCTTCAATTTTAAGACTCTGTCAATTATTAAATGCAACAATGAATTTAGTATCATCTTTGGGGGAAAAAGAAACAGTATGTTAACACATACAATTATATGAATTTCAATATCAAAAACATTTTTTAAATCACACAATAGAGAAAATGCACAGAAGAGGACAACTCTCATACTCACTAAAAATAAATCAATATTCTACAGACAAGGATCAAGAGCTTCAGCATCACCTGGAACCTTGTCAGAAATGAAAAATCTCAGGCCCTACCCTAGGCCTACTGAATAAGACTGTGTATTTTAACAATATTTCCAGGTGTTTCCTCTACAAATAGAAGCTTGCAACACAGTGCTGTAGAAAACATGACATCATCTACAGCTTGTTTAAAATACAAACTCTAAAGTGCATCCCCACTGATCTTAGTTCCATAGATCTGAGGCTAAGAATTTGTCCTTTTAACAAACACCCAGTTGATTTGAATGCAGGTGAACCTCCTCATACCACACTTATTTATACTATTAACTACTAGATTTGCAGATGCTGTACCAACAGAGCAATGAAAAGCAATCCAAAAAAAAAAAAACTTTCAACTTCTATTTCAGTTGAAATAATGCCAAATGTTGACTGGAAGTTCAACCAAACTAAACATAAATTGAATGTCACGTCCTTTCGCTGCTAAGCGCAGGGCAGCTGCAACCTTAGCCACGTACGTTAGCATGAGTTCATTGCAACCCAACCTTGGGAATGGCCGTTGTCACTGACCAAGACAGCCACCTGTCTCAGGTGGTTATGGCCAGCTCAGGCGGTGTTTTAGGTGACATGGCCACCTAAGAACAACAACAACAAAAGGCCTAGGCAAGATAAAGAACTTCCATTGTCTTCACTGCCAACCACAAAAATGCATTAACCATCTTCTTAAAGATCACGTAGGGAGCCTTGAAAATTTTTCCATCCACAGCTCCAACTCACATCTCAGTTTTGCTTAATTTCCCAGATGATAGTTGGAACAAAAACAGTTGTATGTGTGTCTTCAAGCCTCAAGAATAAACTCACAACAATACTGATAACTTATGTTCTCAAAAGTTATCAGTCACAAAAAATAAATACCTAATGCAGAAGGTTGCAGTATCATGGTAAAATAGCTTGGAAGTCTAGCTTTTAGATTTGGGAAATTTGAAATTCTGACTATACAAACAGGAACTTAGTCAATTCCACATTACTAAAGTAGAGAGGAAACCTCTCTATATGCTAGTCTCTCTGTTGACTATGTGCTTAAATACGGATTTTTTAAATATCATGCTGTACCCTGGGGTCAAATGTAAGGGGATACAATGTTCTTTATATGATTCTTCAAGACATGGCTGAACTTAAATAACTAGGGCTGCTCTGTATAGATCCCCACCTGACCAGCCTAGTAAAACAAAGTCAATTTCTAACTGACGCAAACTGTGAGCTCACACTTCTTATTTTCCTTACTGATTTTGAGGAACATCAGGAGCATATTGTATGCATAAATAAATAAGATAGACAGCTTAAAACATTGTCAGGCGTTCTGCCCTACAACTTAAGGACAAAGTTGAGTTGTCTTAGGCTCACTGTCTATGAAGATACATTTATTACAGTCGGCCACTCCAGTGTCCACTCTCTCAGAACAGAAGTCAGGAGGAAGGTTAGGATTTATAAATGTTTAAGAGAAAAAAATGGAAGTCCACAAACTTTTCTATACTTTGAGCTAGAAGATATGACTGCTGTTGAGTCAACTACATTCTCAGTTTAAGAAGTCTCAAATCAAAAATGAGCTGGGCATAGTGGCTCATGCTTGTAATCTTAGCCATGAGCAAGGTGTAAGTGGGAGGATCTCGGTGTAGACCAGTCCATGCAAAAAAATGTGAGCCCCCATCTGAAAAATAACTGAAGCAAAAAGAGTTAGAGGTATGGTTTAAGTGGTAGAGCACCCGCCTAGCAAACCTAAGGCCCTGGGTTCAATCACCAGTACACAAAAAAAATTAATTAAATAAAACACATTCTAGAAATGAATTTCACTGAAAGAAGCTATAGTTCTAACAGTGTAAAATGCCACTCCTAATAAAAAGAAAGTTACGTTCTGCTAATTGCTTTAACCAACTTACTGTAGAAGGGTTCAGAGATTTGTCAACGTAGAGTCGCTTGATTAGTTTCAAAGAGTAAAAGGAGCTAAGTTTATTTATGTCTGAGGTGACTGTTTGAAATCCAAAAGGCACATCTTTGACATTTTCAAAATGAAGGACCTATTAAGAGAAAAAAAAAATTATCAAAAAGCATGGCCTCTTCCAGTTGTGGTAGATGTCTGGTGATCTCAACCTCCTCATGGCACATGGCATCTCCCTGCTCAGGTGTCCCATAAAGCAAAGCTTTGCTGCCTCAGCACTACTGGCCTTTTCTGCTGAGTAATTCTGTGTTGTGGGGTGGTCCTGGGGGTTGCAGAGCACTTAGCTCTAGATGCCCTTGCACTCCTCCCTCTATGTGTGGCAACCAAAAATGTCTCCAGCTTTGCCAGATGCTTCCAGGGAGGGAAGAGGAGGACAAAATTATCCCCAGTTGAGAAACACTGTTATAAAGATGCCTTCCTGATTAACTGTAGGGAGATTTTGCCTTTTCTTCAAAGTGACACAAAAAGCTCATGCAGAAGGATTTCCAAACTAGGGGAAAATGAAGCTGAACTATAATTTCTATCCAATTTAGAGCTTAACACCAAGAGAAATGATCATTAGGCTGGTATCAGATTCTAGGATAGAGCCAGAAGCTCATCTTTTTAGATGCTCTAACAAGTGCCAAATGAACATCAGCTACAATGGTGGGCTGCCCTAGATAGGCTACCACCAGTGTGGGTGACCACTCTCCCTTTGCAGCCCAGCCTCCACCTACTAGAAATGCAATTTTGTCCAGCTCTCCAGAGCCTCTCTTGCCCCTCTGAAAGTGGACTGAGAATACTCACTTCTCTGAGTTGCTGTGAAAATAACATATATTTTATTCAAAACACTTAAACTATCATATGGAATCAAGCTGTTATTCTTATAGTTATATTCTAAGCCATTTAAAACTAGGATGCTATCATTTGGAGGGATGAACTACTTTTATTTTGTTCCTAACTTTTCTTTCATTCCAACCAACAGTCCAGCATCTCCTCTGACTTGTGGAACTGCAAAATATGATGTCAGCATAACATGATTCTCTCCTCACTCCCTAACACATAATGGCTATGCCCTGATATCACACCTCAGGCCATGCCACCGAACTGGCACCTTGCATAATGAGTCAGAAGCTCCAACACTGCAGGGTCAGAGTGGCTTCCCCAAGCACTACATAACTTTCATCCTAATGATGGGTAAAGGAGATCAGAAAATTAAACAGCTGAGGTAACAACTTATGGGAAACCAGTTTCATGTACTGGGAAGATGCCTCTTTATGATTGTTAAGGAACAGGAATAGAGAACCAGAAGTTCTCTTTCCCTACCCTTCTCTGATAGGAGATGAGAAATGAAGACTGGGAGATGGGATTGGGAGTGTGGAGTAAGAAAGTTCAGAGATGTGATCAGGTGAGGAAATTCTCCTTCTCTTCCCAGAACTGAACTTTCTTCTTTAAACCTCACTCAATTTCAAGCGTAAATTCTACATCCTGACTTATACAACATTTTGTGGGTCATAATTTCTGGATATCTATTGACACTCAAGAAGTTGTTCCCTTTTTAAGTGTGGAACAGATTTTGCAGAACTTATAGCAATTACCATGAGATAATAATGGAATGGAATTAGGAGGACATTCAGCTCCTATCCGAAAGTTGTAAAGACTTAAAACATAGCAATCAGGAAAATTCATATCATTTTAATATCTAAGAACTTTACAAAGCTAGACAATGAATCACAGATAAAAAGAACTCTAAAATAGCTATGTACATGTGTGTGTGCTTATAAGTAAGCATCATCTCTTAGTCCATGCTTCTCAAATGAAAAACTCAAGCCCCCAGAAAATATTCCAAAACATATATAAATGCAATTCATCTTACATACACACTACTTGAAGGTAATAATTTAAAATATTATTCTGTATTAAAATAAGCATGGATACACTCTAGGGTAGAGTGCAATTGAACGTACACATTAAAATAAAACATGATGCTGTAAATAAGTTTTGTGCAAAGATCGACTGCTTTGTTCTCTGTCCGAGCATGGGTGGGGGTACAGTATAGATTCACACTCATCTGCTCAGGGTATTTGCAATGGAACATTTCAATCAAGATGGACCTCGTGATTGCCCTTACAATATGGCAGGTGAAAGATGCCAGGTGACTTGCCAGAAGCCACTGGTGAATGGGACACCTGTGAGTGTCCAGCAGATCTCAGGTTCTCCATTGCAACCTGGTACCTGTTCTAAGTATAAGCTGCAGGACGAATAAGTGAGCTTTCACATTTGAAAATGGACTGAAAGAGTCCTAGAGATTGGCCGAGCTCTCAATGCTGCGCAATTCTGACCATGAAGTCCACATTTTCCCATAGACCCTGCGATGGTTCCAATAACTGAATCCCCACTCAAAGTCAAAGGAGGAAGGAGGAGAGGGATACGTTACCTGTCCAATCTCACTTGCTGTGTCACCTTTGGCTCCCACTTGAGCAAGCGACAGGCGGTGGAAAGGCAGATTGGAGAGAACAGAATGTTGCCCTCGGGCTCCTTTTCACACAGCTGTTTGAAGAGATCAACAGCAAAAGCTGAGTTTGCCAATCGCAGGGCGTCCATGGCGTCCTGGAATGAAAGGCAAGGGAAAGGGTCACGTGGTCCCAACACAGCAAGACGGCGCGGAGCAACGATCCGGTGCAAGAAAGAAAGGGGTCTTCAGGAAATTCGAAACGAAAGCCAGTTGTGCGTAAACCTTGGCGCAAAGGTCCTAAGGCACATGAGGACATCTGTGTGTGTTGCTCTGCCGGGGAATCTCCAATTCAGGCCTGCTCAGCATCGTGACCAAGGTCAGGAGCCTATCCTTGACACCTCTCTCTCAGCAAGTGGTCAGAGCAGCTGACAACTTCAATCAAAATCATCTGCCTTTATTTACCACAAACTGTTTCAATAAGGATTTTGGCGAAATGATGCAAAAACTGACATTTTGATAGCTCATGAACAGTCAAATTAGATAGGTTTTGTGCGGTTCAATTTAATATTTACTGGATGTTATAAGTTGAATTGTGTCCTCCAAAGAGACAGGCCGAACTCCTAATCCCTCATACCTATAAATGTGACCTTATTTGGAAATAGGGTCTGTGCAGCTTTAATTAGTTAAGATGAGGTCATACTGAGTTAGGTGGCTCTAATCCAAGGTGACTGGTGTCCTTATAAGAGAAGAAAAAACACAGAGACAGACACACAAAGAGAGAAGATGATATGCATTCACCCAGATGCAGAGGGCAGATATGACAGTAAATGTCTTTGAGCAGAACATGAACGCATGTAGTTTCACTACTGAAGACAGAGGGGCTCCCTTAGCCAGACCCCAGGAATATGTTAGAGCCGAATGCATGAGCAGGATTGTCCTTCTCATTTGCACCTTAAACAAGACAGAAATTCTAGATGCAAAGGTATAGAGTAAGATCAAGTAGTGGACCTCTGGTCTTCCAAAGTTTCTTTGGCCTTCTCTCTTTATGGGACATATGGCTTATGTGCAGGATGGACTCAAAAATGTATCTCAGAATCTAAAAAAGCAAGTTTACTACCAAAAAATAAAGAAGAAAGAAAAAGGTTTCTTGACCCCTGTCCATGCTCACTGGTCCTCCCACTAACTTCCTGTTTCTCTTTATGTCCCTGACAAGTACAGCAGGTGCACTGGGACCAGTATGTACATACCAATCTATCATAAGGTTATTCTTTCTCCTTTTGGGTTAAGTTTGTGGCCAAGGATGACATCACACCCCCATGGAAGCTGATTCACGTTTGGTGCAAACCAAGATGTGACAAAAAAAAAAAAAAAAAGCCCGGGGAGTGTTTCACCAGTGTGCCATCACTGGTAAGTTGAAAGAAACTCTTCACACTTTATATATGTTTGTATGGAAATAGAATAATGAGCCTGGCACAGTGGTTCACAGCTGTAATCCCAGCTACTCGGAAGGTACAGATCAAGAGGACCAAAATTTGAGGTCAGTCTGAGCAAAAAGTTAGCGAGACCCCATCTAGGCAATAAGCTGGGTATGGCACACAAGTCTGTGGCCCCAGCCATGTGAAATGAATAGGTAAGAGGATCGTGTCAAACAGAGGTGAGCCCTGGACAAAGATCCAGACCTTACCCAAAAAATAACTAAAACAAAAAGGGCTGGAGACATGGCTCAAGTGGATCACTTGCTTAGTGAGCACAAGGCCTTGAGTTCAAACATCAATACCATCAGAAAAAGAAATAAAATAGAGTAAAAAATAATGAAACCTATTAAAATTGGTTAACCTGCTAAAATTGGTTAAAAGGGAGGAGGAAAAGAAAGAGCAATAGAGGGAGTGAATTTGAACAAAGCACAATTATATTCATTAAAGAAAGTCTTCATGGAAGATTGGCGGAATGTGTGTAACAGACTTTCAGAATGCCAGGTCTGGCTTACTTCAAGAGCAAATTGAGCATTGATAATGCTGAGTTATTTACATCTGAACCTCAACATGAACATGGAGTAGTGAGCTATTTCTGCTCCAAACAGACAAACCTAAACCCAGAGCCCTTCAAAGTTTTCGATTTCCACACCTTGAGGCCCAATCACACTGATAATAATATGAAAATATACAAACTGTACTTTTCCCAAGCACAATAATTTCTCTCTAACATATATTTACCTCCTCCCAAGAAGAGAAATTGGAACGACTTCTGTATAGTCAATTAAAAAAGTACTTTTAGTGATTTCCTTTGTGTAGAAAAGCTGTGTTTAAGATCGTAGATTAATCTGCTAAGAAAATTTGCCTGTAAATACCTAGAAATGGATCCAGGAAGTGTATCAAAGAGTAAGGAAATATTTTACCATCCATTCAGTATATTATTTTGAGTTACATTTAGCCTAAATAACTCCATGAGTACAGAGTCATTTAGCTTTTAAGGCAGCTAATTACACAATACACTGGTGCTGTGTGGCAATGCAAGGCTTAGATCCAGGTCCCTGTTGGAGAAAGTAAACCACTGCACACCTGACACCTGGGAAGCTTTCCCACCAGCAAGCCCCTCCCTTCCAGTGAGCCCCTTCCTTTGCATGGTGATCTTCAGTACATGATTTCAAACCCATCTGCCTTTCCATCTGTGCTGAATGGCCCTTGTCTCAGAAAATTCTTTTTGGCAGTGGGGAAAGACAGGCAACCCTAATACCAGAGGTCCCTGCTACAGCACCATTGTTTGACACTGGCCAAAACTATCAGAAAAAGTCTGTACGTGGAGAATGTCATAGTGACAAACAATCCCAAATTAAGACATCATCAGATATTTTATGATAGATCTCATCAGAAATTACCAAATTACACGGTAAATCTCATTGGATGCTCAGTGATTACTCCCAATTGACCCACAAACACTGTGAAGCTGGTCTGCTCTGAGGTAACTCAAGCAATGACTTTGGCCAGAGCCAATGGTGCCTCATTGTATTGCAAGACAATCAAAGCATTTAAATAAATCTCAGCAATGTGAACAATACACACCCAGAGGAAATTGTCAAGTTCCTGCATAGACACTTTTACATGAGCAAATGTTATAAAAATTATAGCTACAACATCAGAGATTAGCAATTCCAATACAGTAAGCTTACACATGTAATGACTTGTATTCAACAAGCTAAAATGACTACAATCTTTTCCTTTTTATTATCGCCTTGGTACAAAGTTACCTTCTTTCATTTTCATGAAAACCCTATAACAATTTTCAACAAAGATAATTCTGTTTATAACTCCAACACAGAAAACACTGCACCATTCAAAATCACTTAAAAGTTTAAAAGGAGCTTTCACTTTAACCAGAGAAAACTGAGATGAAATTTGAACAGTAATATGAATACAGTTTTAAAGAACTTATTAAAATGGTTTCTTTTTCATGATTTTTTGCAAAGGTGTTGTAAAATCATAAACCTTTAAAGTAAGACAAGATCTTGCAGTGGGATCTAGCCTGTCCCCGCCTCTTCATTTTGCAAACGAGTGAAATGAATGAAGATAAGTGATTCTCCCAAGTCACCCACGCAGGAATGAGAGTGGCAAAACCAGACTTGGATTCATTTCTTCTAGCTCCCACAACACCTCACCACCTTCTTCTTTGGTAATTGTGTCTCTACTGGTATTTGTTCTCTCAGAAGTTTCCCATGTTCCAAAACTCCTATGTGACCTGAATGACCCCCTTTAAAGATACCAAAATATCCTGCATGGAGTTTTTGGTTTTATTTTTGTTTTCATTTTTAATCAGCGCTGAGCTTTTTCCCTGTGATTTTCCAACTTGAAGGAGCTCTAGTTCTCTTTCTGCTACTGATGTTGCAAACTCTTAATGTTATAATGCTAATAAGGTTTGCATATCCAACTCATGTCAGGCCCTGAAGTGGGCATTAAGAAACCAAAGGTGAACCCAATGGCTCCTTTCTCAATGAAACTATCAACTGGTGGCACGACAAAGGTGATGAGTATTTCGATAGTTTGCACATGTTACCATGGCAATCCTTAGCAACAACCTAACCTACACTGCAAATCTTAGTAATACCTCCTCAGAGACAGTTACATCTAAGTAAAACAACTAAAGGTAAGTCCTAAAGGATAAGTAGGACTGAGTCATACAGAAATGTGGCCAGAGAAAACTTCTATAATTCAGAGACTGCAAGTGACCCCAAATCAATGGAGGGACAATATGTACTAGAATGAGGGAGAGGCGCTCACTTCTCTGGACTTAACAGCTTGTCACCATTCCTTCCATGAACATTTTCTAAGTTCGTAATGCAAATAATCTTCAAACTTTTTGTCTTTGGAGCATTTGGGTGAGATAAAAGTTCTGTGGATAAGGTGACTATATGTCCCACTTAGACTGTGACAGTCCTGCTTAATGTCTATTGTCCAGACATGGGAAACGCTTTCACTCTCAAACACGTTCATATTTAAACAACATACGTCCATCCTATTTACAGACCATCTACCATTCTCTTCTCTACATAGGCACTTGAACACATACACACAGAGAGAGATACATAACTATGTGAATAATTTCTTCATTCCTTAAAACTAACTTTTCCCTGAGTCAGGGTATTGTGGATAACCTTTAGCCTAACCTGCCTCATTTTACAGATGAAGAGACATGATCTTTTTTGTCTATCCCTAGGCAAAAATACCTTGAGGAACCTTGCTTATTACAATACCTTTAATGGAATGCCTAAAAACACAACTTCTGTGATACACTTTACAATTCTAAGAGAAGAAAACTCTGTGCCAGATTTGGAAAATTTGAGATTTTTCATAGCACTCCTGTTGTGTAAAAGAAAATGAGAATTAAATGAAATGATTGAGTAAATGTCCATGGAAAGTGCTTTGATGCCAGGAAAGTGCAATTCAGCCAGCCATTAGTAATGAGGTTAATTGCTTTAATTTCTGATGAAGGAGGAGCTTCTGCTCTGTTCAGATGTTCTGGAACATCACAGCTGCTCCCAGTTCCTTACAAGCCTAACTTTGACCACTGACCTAACCCACTGCCGCCAGATTGGGCCACACCAAATGGCCCAAGTTGCTGAGACTGCATGCCCTGAAGTCTGTGCACAAGAAAGAGA